ACACTCACCATTATTGTTGATACCAGTGTCTTGCCGGATGGATATGCTGCGTCCTGCACAGAACACCAAAGGAGCGCTCCATGACTTGGATTGCGTGTGTGCTAGCTGCATCGCTCTGCTGCTGAAATAGGCTAGCCACAGACAAAGAAATGAGAAGCCATGGCTTTGAAACACACTGAACGTCACCTTTAGAGATCAACAATGCATACTTAGGTCAGGTACAATTTGTAGAAAATATATATCACTATGCAATCGTGGTGAACATGTTCGGCTGAAACACAAGCAACAGCACTGAGAGAGAAAAAGCTACATTAGGTAAAAGATGCAGTTACCGGCCCTATGTCATCTGAGGCTTCTTCAATAGGTCTTTCTCTTTGCATGTTGTGAACAGCCAGGCAATTTTCACCCACTTGATATTTCCTTCCAGAGCACTTGATCCACAGAGGGAGTCACAAGCTCGAGAGCTCAATAAGGAAATCAAAGTATTTGTGCTCGTTTCAAAGCACAAGCTTTTGAGTCTCAGATTATTGGAGTTTCATTCATAAGCTGCAGGCTTTCAGCTTGCAACATTCTCGATTATCTTGCAATTTAGTTCTATAAATGTTGAATAAGAATTATGTGTAAGAATATTAAAGGTATCCACTGAAAGCAACCATGCTTGGGTTTTGAATTTGTGCACAGTAAGCGGTGTTCACGTAATCGTATGTATTAAAGAAAAACTAACCTTGCAGCCAGCCGTTAGGCAGTTTTGTGCCCTCGAAGCTCCCAAGCAGATTGCAGTCCTTCCAGATGAGGCTGCCATGCATGCTTCCACGCCACATCCGCTGAATGATAACAGTCCCAGCAGTGACATAGGCTTGCACAGTTAGGGAGAACGTGTCCTTCCTATTTTTTTACAGGCGCTCCAAGTAATGATGAGGATTGATGTGCCAGAATGTGCAACCGATTCATCACAGGACCTTAACAAACCAATCTCTGCGATCTGTGAAGAGCCAAAAACGAGATATTTAATTAAAAACAATCATTAAAAGCACTCACCTCTAATACTTATTTGAGGAAGCTATCACTTCGTTAAAGTGACCAAAATCTGCTATATTCACTTTGAAATAAACTGAAGCCTCATGTAAAATTTACGTGCCGCAATATATATGTCCTACTGAAGTATAGTACTACCACAGTGGTAATTGTCTATAGAACTGATTTTCCAAAATAACATAAATTTTTAAGTGCAACCTCGCTTCTGAAAAATAAATTCACATTAACTTTCCAACTATCAAACGGGGTCAATCGACAGGCCCAACCTCATAATCAAACAAGAGCTCACTTGTATCAAATCACAAAAAACTTTTTATGTATTTGCTCTATAATATATGTATGTAAATAACAGTAGTAGTAAATTTTTCATGCTTCAACTTACCATAGAGAAACAATACATCTGATGGGCTTAAAAACTTGCACACGTTATAGAACTGCGTGAATTATAGTACCGGTGAAATTTAGTTCTGCAAGGTGAACTCACCGATGGCAGCATTTAGTAGCCGTCAGTGCCATAAGGAACCAAGTACGGCCAACAGGCAAAGGGCATCTGCAGACTGGAAGCTGCCGATGACAGCAATGAAGGGCTGGCCAGGCGTGCACGTCCATTGATAAAGTGTAAGAACTGGCCATGACCGGCTGTTGTCAAGGCTCTATTGCCGTGCGAAACGATGGCCAGACGAACTCGGAAACCTGTAGTTAGGCGATATTGGCCTACAACTTCATCCAAAGCAAGGCACCGGTGAAATCTTTGCTTTTTCTGGGGGCCGAAGGCAAGCTTGACGTTCACGGGCTCTCGCTGCCACATAGAACTCTCAAGTTGTTACTGAAGAACAGTCTAGGCGCGCTTCCAAAGTAACACGATCCATAACAGAATGTAGCATCTCGCAGTTTTGGTTGATCACATCACAGCGCTAGGACTATGGTTATCACAAAAAGGAGAAGTGACGACTTAATAAACAAAAGCGCCAAGCTGCCCCACCACGACTTCGCCGGGCAAAACAGTTATCAACGCTGTCTTTCAATTTTCGGTCACACGAGCACAGCTTGTTCGCAAGTTTTGGAACGTCAACACAGCACCACTGTTCACAACGAACATCGTTTCACTCCCGAACAGTACATTGCTCTCAAGTAAATAGAAGCGTACGGGCTAACTAGTGGCGAAGCAAGAACCGAGCGCGTAGTTCATACGTTTCCGTACGTACTTGGGGTCACTCAAGTAACGTGTCAAAACGCTGTCAATCCGAAATGTCGCACAGCACCCAACTGAGAGACTGTAAAGTCAAGCGAACGAACTGTTACCGGCGCACAAACACACATTGCAGGCTTCTCGAGTGCTAGTTGCCGTCGATACATTGACACCGATCCCCGCTTGATAACCACACCGACGCACGGGCTTCGCTGCGTTTCACCGTACACCATTGCACTGCCACAGCTTTCCGCACTGCTTACACGCACCAAAAGAGCAGCTGTAATCACAACACATCCGGTCAAACGCTGAAGTAACTAGTGCGAGAAGCGTTTGCTGAAAGTTGCACCGACCGATATGCTGTTCACGACGCCATGTTATTTTCGACAACTGCGCAGCACATAAGATGATAAGAGTGCTCTTAGAAAGTACTTGCACTATTTTCACGGCGTGAAAAAAATTTCTCCTATGTGCGAGAGGGGTGATATGACGAACAGGACAGGCGTGCCAGATGAAAGAAGTGTTTTGGCAACGTCACGGAGTGAGCTGATGTAGAGGGTATTGCTTCACAACCAATCACAAGCTGTGCCTGTCGGCCAAGCCGTCGTCTGCTCGCGTTTGTCGTCTGCTTCGATCAGAGCATGCGACAGGGGATTCGCCTTCGCAACGCTATTATTCTCAGGTCAAGTGGTCCCTACGTCGCACAAAATACATGTCAGTGGCTCGCTCTACCTTTGAATGATGTTTGTGCGCCAAGTTAAATGGCCGGTAATTGACGCAGAAATGAATTCAGCCAAGGTTTGCTCCAGAGTCGTGAGGGTTTGCATATTTTCGGTGTCATACAAAGTTACTAGGGTCATTTCATTCCGATTGCTTGCCATAATATCACGGTACATATCGGTGTCTGAACAGTGAAGGTGAAGATGCATGATTTGTTTGTAGTTCCATGCGTAATCACGCGCACCCCTAATACGCTTTGGTTTACAAAGTACGCTTTGTTCCAGATCGTCCCAAAGTGTATCGGCAGCTGTATTTCAGAGATTGCAACCATTGGACAATTAGAGCCAATGAAAGTACACTAGAGCACAAACTTTAGGAACCACTCACTGAAAACTTCCTCTCATTTTTATTTCCAATAGCGTGCAAAGAATGTGCTCCCATTAACCTCTTTGGTGGTAATTTCCACCAATGAGGCAAGGATCTCGAGTCGCACTTTTAATTGGATGATATGGGGCGCAACACAACAACATAACAAATAAGGTTGATCCTATGTCATGTCGCGTTCGAGTGCACCGACCATTCACGTATCACATTGGTTTTCATCCAACCACAAATCTTTACATGCGTAGTTTGATGCCATTGACGCCCAATAGAATTCTTCAATTACTGCGACTTCGAACTTATTGGACGGTGGTGGTTGTCAACACCATCCACTGCGTACGAGGGAAACAACACGCGAAGCTCAAAGCGCCGAAAGAAATAAAAACGCACCAGTAGTCATCAGGCAGCCCTTAATGGGCGTGAATTAACTCAAAACCAGCCAGGGCACGAAAGTATACCGCTGCGGCAGCAGGTTTTAAGTAGCCACATTGTTCCTAAGAGTGGTTCGGACCACTCTTGGGATTTTCTCTCAGCCATGCTGTTTTTACGCACAATTTCGCTTCGTGAATCCACTTACGAGCACTTTTCGGTGACGTAGGCAAATATAGCAACTGCATCACCATCGCTGACATGTTCTCGGGCAGTCACAGCGCGCTTTATTTGCAGCGGCCGATGTGACAACTATGGCCTCTTACGACGTTTTTTCGTTTCGTGAATCGACTTACGCAACAAAATTTCTCTTGCGCAAAAATGTTTTCGTAAGTGAGGTTTGTGAATCCGGGCCCAGGGTCCCAGCTGAAGTCGAACTCAAGCATTTTGCGTGGCATCGAAGCATTGTACCACAGAGCTACGCCAAGTATCGGAACTGCTTTTCAAGTAGACGATAATCTTTGTGAAACGTCAATGGTAGTTGCAGTGCTGCCTACCCAACTTAATAAATATTACATTTGTACCCTTTTGATAGAGCCGTCACGTCAGGTTAACGTCAATTGTGGTTAGTTGTCATGCGCTGAAGGTGATTTATGTGGCAGCATCCAGGGCCAGCGTCCTCGCAAGCATCAGCGCTTCATATCAGTTTCTGGCGTCGCTAATACGCGTGTTACAGTTTGGCATCGTTGTGCAAGTTCAAACAACTGGTTATATGAACATCTGCAACTCTTCAACTAATGTCTGTGCTTGCAACATTTGTACATATATTTGGCGTCATTTCATTACGCGTCGCTGAATAAAAAAATTGCAACACGGTTACCTTCTTTGCGCATGCTTCGCATAAGGTTGATCCCCAGGTACGAAGGATCTGCCGAATTTTTTTACGCATGCTTCAACTTTGGGATACCCAAAATCCGATTTGGAAGGCTTTCTAAGGCATCTGTTCAGGCCATTTTTAAACGCTTCTGCGCTACCTCGCCTGAATGTCATATTTAATTTTGAAATGTTTGAAAACACTGAATAGGCTCGAATATCAGCCAGACGTGTAGCCACATAGCAGTGCTTTTTTATTGCACCACAAAATTCAGAGCCAAGCACAGCATGATTTGATGTAATGTAATGCTATTGCTGACGTATCTCCGTCAATGATAACTCACAATGTCACAAAATTTTCCATATCTCCAATAGTTTAATAGAAGAGTAGTGCTTAAGACAATATTAGCTACAGGTACGTGTCTCAACTCACCATCGTCCAAGGTGAAGACAGCCCTGTCCGGTGCATCTCCAGCAGATAAATGCAGAGCAACATTTTTTCTGGAACAAAAGTGAAGTTGCCCATATTGTCGCTTGTACTTATCGTTGTGTATGCTTTTTGGTGTGATAGTGATTTGCTTGGCATAAAAAGGCAGGTGTCGGGGTTCTATCAATTCAAGCTGCCGCTATGCGGTGAGTGATGCAAACACATCGTTACTTTTGTATGAAGTTTTTTTTCTCTTTAGACGCTCTCTAGAACTACAAATAATTTTGTCCTTTCCTTTTCATTCACCCTTCTATTTCATTAGCCAGCCGTAGGTGTAATTACTAGTAAGCAAATCTGACTCCCGACTGAGGATCATTGTCGACTACTATATCTGCTTACCTAAGCTTTAAATACAACTGCAAAACGCCAATGCAGTATGATACAGCGTTAAGGGAGCACCGGTCGATTCTATTGCAGTGTAAAACTTTTGCGATTATTTTTCACGCACTCGAACCGCCCTCGAGGTAACACTCAACGCAACAATCACAGACAAGTAGCTGATTACTGCGCGAGAAAGGAGCGCACAACCCGTCAGAGTGCAAAAAATGTCACAGTGGGAATGCTACAACTCATATCAGCAGCGTTTTGACGGTATTAAAATTTTAACGCCAACAATATCAGAAGTGAGCAAGACAGAAATAAATTATGGCAGAATAAATGCACGAGATGGAGGATAAACCAGAGCAAAAAGCTTGCCTAAGCCTGCGAAGTCAGAAGTTCAAGACCGCACTCTGTTTTTTTTATTAAACACATAAGGAGTTTTAAGCAGTTAGGAGAAGGCCAGGCGAGCTACGAGTAATGTGGAGTTGAGAGCTGATAGGTGGTCAGGTGGTATTCTACAGTGCCAAAAGGGGAAGCAGAACCCCCTACTTAGACATAGCACATTAGCATAGGAAGCAATGATATATATATATATATATATATATGTATATATATATATATATGTATATATATATATATATATATATAATATACATATATATATATATGTTTTTAATGTCAATTCCGGAGCATTTTCAATTGTATATTTACTTAAAACACGAGATTAGGGAGTTGTTGAGCAAAATAACAAAAGAAAAATATTGGTGGTAAGGCCTACATACTGCCAGTAATGCATTCTTTCACTGAAGCAGGATTGACCACCCTTCAATACTTGACTGTAGTATGAACGCACAAATTAACCCTCGGCCCTCATTCCCCAGCGGCTGTGAAGCAACTGTCCAGAGCTGTGGTCAGATCTGCGACGCAGTGGGGGACGCTAAGTCTCTATGGGTCCGAACAAGTCACAAATCGAATTTAAACTTGGCCTACGTTTAATGCTAGAACTTTATCTAGTGAGAGTGATATGGCTGTGCTATTCGAGAAATAAGGGGGTTTAATGGGATACAATAGGGCTCAGTGAAGTTAAAGTATACGCGAAGCATATACTGCACTTAATAACGAACACATCCTATGCTATCGTTGATTAGTTGAAAAAAGAAAACTATATAGGTGTAGGGTTTCTTATACACAAAAATATCGTAGGCAACATAGAGGACTACAATAGCATCAGTTAAGGGGTGGCAAGTTGCGTATGGAGTGGCATATTGCGTAAATGCAACAAGGTGCAGTAAAGGGTTAAAAAAAAGAAAGAAAACGAAGGTGGTACAAGCCTACGCACCTACATAGAGCCATGAGGATCATTTGGTTAAACGCTCCTATGAAGACGTAGAGTCCACAGTTGATAAAGTAAAGACACAAATTACTATTCCGATGGGGGACGTTGATGCTTAAGTAGGCAAGAAACCAGCCGGGGACTGTGCAGTGGGGAAATATGGCCCTCAGATCGAGAAATTCCGGGTGAGAGCTATTAACAGAGCTCGCAGAACGTATCATTTACGAATCTTGAATACATTCAACAGAACACAGGCTAGCCCTAAGCGGACGTGGTGGAGTCCTGATGGCGAAACTAAAAATGCAATAGACTTCATTCTGTGTGCACAGCCAGGCATTGTACAGGATGTAGAAACAGTCGGCGAGATCCGATGCAGTGACTATAGAATGGTGAAAGCCAGAATTCACATAGATTTAGAACAACAAATGCATAAACCGATACGCAAGAAGTCAATTATTGAGCTAGTGAAGAGAGTGAACGTAGAGGAAATAAAGTATGGCATCAGAGTATATTCGCAGATTTAAACGTTGTTAGCATGGACACAATGAACGATAATCTTAGTAGTATCATGAAAGAGTGGGCTATAGAATTTTGAGGGCAGTCACTAGACAGGACACTGGTAAACTGTCTTAGAAGAAGGAAAGATGCGTTAAGAGGCGACACAACATGCAAGTTTGAATTGCAACCGACAAAATACAGATAGTGGAGCTTTCGAAGTTTATCAATAGGCGTAAGGTAGCCGACCTCATGAGGTATTGCTTGGACAGAATCGAGCAGGCCGTAAAAGCGGCAGAAGCCTAAAAGCTGTTAATGCAAATTTGTGCAAAGGCAAAAACAGAATGTATGCGTTAGGGAACAAAAAAGGCAATGTCATAACCAACTTCGATACGATAGTCGAGGTGGTGGAGGAGTTCTACAAAGAGCGGTACAGAAGCCCAAAGAAACAGGATGATATGGTATGAAGCAGTATTAGCAACCACAAATTTCACATCCTACCCGTCACGAAGAGGGAAGTAATGAAAGCTCTAGAAGGAATGCAAAGAGGCAAAGCCGCTGGTGAGGATAGGGTAAATACGGACCTGCCTAAAATGGCGGAAATATTGTGTTAGTAAACAGGCCATTTCATATAAAAAGTGTCTCTTGACGAGAAATGTACCAGAAGCTTGTGATAACGCAAATATCAACTTAATTATAAGAAATAAAACGTCGAGCACTGAAAATTACAAGCCGATCAACCTACTTTCCGTTCTCTACGAAGTATTTGCAAAAATATAGCGAGATGACAGTTTAATTAACCAAATAACCAAGCAGGATTTCACACAGTATACTGTACAATAGAGCATAAGCACACTATCAATCAGGCGTTAGTGGTATGCATGGAATACAACCAATCCTATATACATATCCTTCATAGATCACTAGAACGCATTTGACTCAGTAGAGACCAGGGTGTCTCTTACATCGTGGTCGAGACATCAGCAATAATGCGGGCACTACAGAATCAGGGCGTCAACGAACCCTATGTAAACATAATAAAGAAATGTACAGCAGACCCACAGTCACCATAGTTATCCATAAACGAAGCTACAGAATCCCAATAAAGAATGGCGTAAGGCAGGAAGACACAATCTTTCTAATGCTATACCGCCGAGTGTTTACAGGATGTTTTCAGGGCCCTAGATTGCGAATGGTTCGGAATAAGAGTTAGTGGGGAGTCTCTTAGTAACCTGCAATTCGCTGATGAAATCGCCTTGATGAGCGACTCAGGGCACGAATTACAGCTCATGATTACAGAACTTGACACGGAAAGCAGAAGGCTAGGTCTGAAAATTAATATGCGTAAAACTAAAGTATTGTACAACAGTCTCGGGAGAAAACAGTGCTTAGAGGTAGGTGACAAGACATTGAAGGTTGTAAAGAAACACGTCTACTTGGGACAGGTAGTAACCATGGAACCGAATCATCAGAGTGAAATAACTAAAAGAATAAGAATAGGGCGGATCGCGCTCAGCAAGAATATTCAAATCATGAATGGTAACCTACCACTAACCCTTAAGTGGAAGGTATATAACAGCTGCATCTTGCCGGTACTTAACTTACGGTGCAGAAACCTGTAGGCTTCCCAAAGAGCATTCCGCTGAAATTGAGGGTGGCAAAGCGAGCGATTGAAAGAAGAATGATAGATGTAACCTTAGGAGACAAGAACAGAGCAGATTGGGTCTGGAACAAACCGGGGTTAAGGATATCATAATAGAAGTCAAGAAAAAGAAACGAACATGCGCCGGGCACGTAGCGCGTAGGCAGGATAACCACTGGTCATTAAGGGTAATTGACTGTATTCCCAGAGAAGGCAAACGCACGAGGGGGAGACAGAAAAAATATATGGCCTGATGAGATTAAAGTGTTCGCAGGTATAACGTGTTAGCAGTAAGTATACGACCACCTTACTTGTGGACCATGCCAGTGGCCTATGCCCTGCAGTGCGCGTATTCAGGCTGATGATGATCCTGTTGACTACTTTTCAAGCTCATTGGTGAAAAGAACGACTGCAGCCGAATCAGTGACAAATTCATATATTGCAGCTTGTATTCCCAACGTTCAGAAATAGTATAAGAGGGTTCACGAAGGCAGAAAACTTGTAAGCCAAGCATTTGCAAGCTCACTGGTTTTATAATAGGCTTCCTTCAACTAGCAGTGCATGGAACGTAGTAAGGCCCAGAGAAAATTAAAGATACACGGCTTTGTCTTACATCAGCTCCTGTTACGATTAAAGATACTTCACCCTATATGTGGCATGTGCAACCATACCTTTATTGCTGCCTATCGGTTTGGGGAAGCACTACGCAATCTAATTTGCAATCACTATTTTTTTTTACAGAGAAAAGCCAAAAATCTATCAAGACAGTGACAGTACAAACGAACACTACCAGATTACAACACTCTTGAGCAACAACAACAAAAGTATAGAAGAAATCTTAAAAAATCACAAACAGAAAAAAATAATCAAGCCCCAAGTGTTTCAACAACTTCTTTCATAGTTTTTTGTAATTCATTAAGTGCATACTGCCTGCTACTTGCGTTCAATGTTATTAGTGTCATTTATGATACGTTTGATTATAAGTATTCACTTGAAGAATTTTATTTTATATTTCATGCGTTCAAAGTTGCACGTGAAGTACTACTTCTTTTATTCAAGCGTTTCAGTTGCTTCCGGTTTTTTTTTTTTTGTCACTGCCTGTGTGCAAACTGCTGTTACTTCTGGTGAGAGAACTTCATCAGGCATAATGTCTTTAGTGTTGTCTTTCTGACGTGTAATTTTTTGCACATGAATAAATCTATTTCAATATATCTGGTAAGCACTTTGATCTTGAAATGGCGAACCATTTACCTAGTACGGCCGTTTCCACCCTTGAACATCCAAACGTACGTGGCTTTTTTTGCTTGCATATCCAACTCAGTTCGCTTATTGGTCAGGCATTGAAATTCAGCGTCTTCGCCTGAACTATACACAAGTACAACATAAGGAAACTTGTCGAATAGCTGCAAAATAAGCAATGAAAAAGCAGGGTGAATGTGATTCATCCGCATTCAACGAATAACAACGAAAAAGTCCTATAACGATTGTGCCGCTTAGTGTAGAACAGGTGCATTTTTTTGTATAATCAGATGTTTAACACAACTCTTTATTTACTGGTTTTACGGTGAGAGGAAAGAAGCAGAATTAAAAAGATTATTAAAGCTACCAAAGTTGCACCTGCACTGTCACTTACGCCATCAGCAATTTTGATTTCAACAATGCCTGCCTATTTATTGGCCATCCTGTTGAAAAAATGTAAGAATGCCTTGTTTTTTCTGGCTGTTCATGAAGTATTCGTGGTGATTTACGAATTTCTTGACTTTTATTACTGTTTCCTATTTATTTTTCAAACGTCAAAGTCAGTCAAAATACACTCGAAAATGTGACACCCTAACTTGTATAGGCGTATATATTTACGTTAAGTACAGTAAAATGAATAAAAAGGATTTGGTACGGCAAATTGTAGCTACAATGAAATGGACGTATTTCGCCACTATGCGAAGCACATGCTGATAAAAATAACAAAAGTAATCGCAGAAACGCTGTACATATACCGATTTCAATGGAATAGATAATTTCGAACAGACATTGGTGTAACCAAAATGCACCACACACAAATGTATGGGCTAGCTGTAACAATATTATCGCGTGATCCTCAATTATATCTACATTCGTGATGTTTGGTATACTTATGGGAGAAGAATGAAGTCAAGAAAAAGTGGTACGGCATTTTAATACTTAAAATGTGTTTACTCATTTATATTTGAGAAGTGTTTATTTTTACTTATTTGAGGAGTGTTTAGTACAAAGCGGCATAGAGGTGGGCGAATATGGTGGGCGTCAACGTAGTTTGAGGTAGGCGTCTAAGTGGTGTGAATGAATAAACTGTTCACTTTTTGAACAGTTTTTTTTTCATTGTGCGTCAACTTAGTACCAGTTAATACACCTGGCTTGTAAGCTCATTTGTTTTCTTTATCTGCGTTTCATTGTTGTTTTAAGCATTGCATTTCTTGTGTCACATAGTAGTTTATTAAATATATCGTTTTGTTCTGCCACACACGTCTATGATCTCTTCACTGCTCTGCTTGCATACGGAACGAGCTAACCAGCTGTCCTTCCCGCCTTCGTCTTTGCGCCGGTGACGCTAGCGTGGCAGCTTGTAACGAACCTCAACAAAAATTTTACATCCAGTCATCTATTTAGCTAACAGTACCTATGCCTTCATGAAAGACTCATCAAAATTACTGGCTTTTCGGCATTATTTGTGTCCATGGCACCGTCTCCGGATGCCAGTTATATCAGTATTGAGAATCTTCTTTGTTTAAAGACAGAGAATTGTGCTACCGTATCCACCGTCTGCTATATATGCTATTGTATTTAGTGCAAGGAGGTTGATGACTGGAAGCTCCTAAGCGCCCGTGGACTGAAAAAAAAGGTTCTAAAATATGATTGTGTTGTGTGCACGTCACCCCTGTACTTCCCAATGCATAAAATAAAGATAAAACAAAGCAATGCTGAAGCGTTTCACCATGGTAGCATTAAACAAGTCGCTTCGCAGAAGTTCCGGCATGGGTGTAGTTGGTTGTGAGGGAGATGTAACCGTTGCCAGTGAGCGCAATTTTTAAACATTTAAATGAACTCTTTTTTAGCTTCTTTTAGTGCAGTAATCGAACTGAGGCATGCATTACATTCAGAAGTTTCATGAAAGAACCATGCAATTGCTTGAAATTGCTTTGGAAAAATTCCTATGGGAACGCCTCATTATGCGAGGAGTCTCATTAACGCATGCAATGTTGCTAGGCAGAAACGTAGAATTGCGTCAGTTGTCAACCCACATAATTGTACATTAAGAGAGGAAATTGAAGGCCCTTCATTACAAACCACTACGACATATTTATTGGTCATCATCAGCAATTGCATCAACGTAGTGCACTGCTGAATTGGTTAGCATGTTATCATAAGGACTTGTAGTGCGTCATTCGATGATTTAGAAAAGAAAAAAAAAGTCTATGGTATACGTGGCACTTCCCAGCTGTAGTTCCGGTAGATTTTCAAAGATAGCTATAAAGAGTCAACGTTATTCGCACAGACGTTCTTTTTCTTGAGCCGTGGTTGAGGTTTCATATGGGAACTGAGGCCAGGCTACCAAATTAGAATAACATGCCAAAGGGGCCCGACTGGGCCATCAAGTTCTAGTTGTCAAAGAAAGTTCAGGCGTCCCTTCACTTTTGCTTTGTCTGAAAAGCCTAACAAAAATTCTGCTCCTTGGGCGATTTGTAATAGCACACGGTTGATTGACGCGCTTCGGAGCAAACCTACGATGGGAGTTTTTGAAGAGGGGTCCAAAAAGAGGGGGAGCCCAAAGCAATTCTAGTGTGCTATCCTGGAGTCAAGCCGGGGATAAAAGAGTTCTTGAATTAGGACTCGCGCGCATCGTTTGTGTCTTGCGACAATGATGTATAACAAAATTAAAAACTTTCAGATAAAGTTGTGTTTCAAATCCGAGTGTCAAACAATACCATGACTAGCAATTAGTTGCAGGCTGGTCAGCACGCAAAATGTGTTACAATCTATGTATTCATCATAACGAGCAACATGCTTGGCACTAACACTTGCTCAAATGAAGCTCTATATTTTATATTGAATGCAAAAGGTTAAGTGGAGTGCCCAACAAGAACTATAGATATAGGACTATGACATAGTCACACAAATGAAGTTTTACAAACCAGCCCAAATTACAGTTTTGCTACAAAGTGCTATAGGAGATGTCTTCCCGGCAACTTTGCCTCTTTCTCATTAAGCTGACATCCTCAATTATCTCAAATAAAAATATGGTGTACACTCGACCAACTGAGAAACCGTCAAAAGATTGTATATTGGTTTTTTCTAATGATGTAAAGATCTCAGAAAAAAAACGAAAATATATTAGCGGGTATAGAATGAGGTCTTATAGAAACCATATGTAATTTGTGTACCTTAGGTGACTCGCTTTCAAGAACTTCACAGCAATTACCCCGGCACTTTACCTTGACGCTACGCTGAAATAGTTTAGGACGGCTATGCCATATAAACACAGTGACGCTGTCAGTATAAATATCTACACCCATACTCTAAAAAAGAAGCTTTGTAGAGGCTGGCGGGCATATTTCTACATTCACCGAGATGAACATGATGATGCTGTAAGAAGAAATAAAAACGTACATTTTTTGGAATGCAACTCACCTCGAACGTATCGGTAACGTTCCGTTCAAGCTTGTGCGGTGCCCTCGACGAGGCAGGCGTAACGACGAATGCAACACAAGCGATAGCTACCGCAAGCGAAAAGTTCAGAGAGTGCATAGTGAGTCAATGTCGGCACTTTTTTGCAAGATGAACTGCCGGTAAAATGGCCTGATATTATATATACATATTCTTGAAATTTACCAATTCCATGAAATGTAATGAGTACTGAAATTTGCAGATACGGGCATCACTTTTCCATTTGACGGCAGACATGTTTCTTCTCTTACAAATGGAGCGAGAATCCTATCTCTAAATTTGGCAATGTTATTTCAACATACTTTCATATTAAGTTTTCTTTAATTAGTACATTTTTATTGGAAGCTACACACGTCGCACGTTGACCTGCGTTCTCTTTATTGCAGCTGTAGTACCTAACTGCTCATGAGGTCTAAACTCGTCAGGCTCAAAAAAGATTGAAACGCAATTATGTGCGTGAAGCAAAAAAATGAGAGTTTAATTATACTGTTATAAATGATGGCAGATGGTAACGGCATTCTCATGTTTTGTTACTTTTGTTTAGCATGCTTGACATCAAGCTAGCTGGCCTTGAGAATTGAATAGGTTTTTTACAGCTGGTTTTTTTTTTTTTTTACTGCCCGAAGCGATTCCTCTCAGAAACCTGTATATGTTGTATTCACACTGCTAACAGCTTTTTGCAGAGTAAAAAATGTTCTAATAAAATTACCTTGCCTCAAGTTACCTTGAATATATACCAGCCAACACTACAAGCAAATTAGGTGATGTAGGAAGGCCCCATTAGATGTAGAAAGCAGCGGCGTAACAAAGCGTAGTATTGAACAAAAAGCCCGCGCACTCTAGTTACAGTACAAGTTTCACAGTAATATTCACTTCAATATAAAACTCGATCTAGGATCCCCACTGGACGCACCCAAACTAATTAGAGTGAAACAACAAGAACAATGCATGTGAATGACAGATAAGCAGCTGAAAAACTATGAGTTATTTCCGCCTCTTGTGGTGACAGCATGACCGTGTACGTAATGAAGCACTGTCACCCACATCTGACGAGCCTTCACAAAGTAGCACTCAAGTCACCGACAGCAGTGCGACTCCTCATTTCCTATTGAAAATTTGATAGTATTTTCAAACTCCACCCATCGCAAGTAACACTGACCTCGTACCTTTAGTAGCAATAGACATGACAGTAGCAACACATTTTCCCTGCATGCCTCTCGTCTCGCTGAAAAAAATAGTACAAATCAGTGATACAATTTATTTCTCATCTTTGCAAACACCTTTTTTCTTTCCATCGAGCAAGTGACTCAAGTGGCATGTAAAAGCTAAGTTATCATGCTAAAGCCTATTTCTCTACATTATTAAGAAGATTGGCCATTTTCGCAATCGTAATATAGAGCTCTCTGTAAATTAATGGCAGCAGTACGTTCGGCAGTAATTTTGACGGATTCACTATAAGTATGCGCCTCCTTTACTGCAAGTTCTTTCAAAGACTTAGTTCCCCCGCATCTCAATTTGATCGAATCGGTCTGGGTTCCAGGGAATAAGTGCTAATTTGTAAATGAAATTACAGACGCGCTCGCAAAGTCATCTTTATATGGGCCTGTTATCAAGGTATTACTGCCATCCAAATTCTTGATAGGCTCTAGATTAGGAAGGAAACTGCTGTTAGAGGAATTTTCTGCACCTTCACTAACGGCCACATCAGAATTCAAGCACTTCGTGTATCATTGGTATAGTAAAATATCTGAAACTAGAAGAATGGAAGTTGCAATTACTAGACTTTGTTCTCAAATTCAGCAACTAAATTTACATTTACACAGAGCTCGTCTGGCAGCTTTCCCTTATTGTTCTTTTTGCGGAGTAAATAAGTTAACCGAGCATTACGTCAGTTCCACCAACAGATACTCTGCCTTACCCTAAAACACTTTAGGTGCATGGCGTTTACCACCTCCTGTGAACAGGCTTGAAGGCTCACAATGTGCTTTCTTTCGGGGCCTTGTCTCTTTTCCACTGCAATGGAAGATTGCTGACGCATTTCAGGAGTTTTTCAAAACTTCAAAGAGCTTTAAGTGTTGAAATCATTGTTCGGTAGATTTCATTACTTTTCCAAAATAATTTTTATTCAAATACACCGCTTCATTGCATTACACATCAGTTTATTTACTATTGCACTATCAAATTCGTCCTGTTTTATCTTTCTTTTTTTTCTTGTAGATAGCACAACTGTAACCTGTTATTAAAGAAGTATTTCATGAAAACTATCTTGTTCATCGCCAATCCCCCAGCATGGGTATGCACCACATCTTCAAGGAACTTACTCGACCTGACAAAATGACATGGACGCAGGTGACGGGTCTCTTTTGCTTGGAATATTTATTAGTGCCCCTCTCGCGAATTGGAAGTGTGCTCACCAAATTTCGATGCTCGGTTCCGCCTTTTAAGTTTTATTTACACAGGTCTGGTCACTTACCAAATCCTCTTAGCTTTTACTGTCATGAGCCAGAAAACATCGATCATTTTTTACTTATTCTGACGCTTCACAAGCCACAGGAAGAAACATTTAAAAATTATACCCAATACTCTCATTTGTGAAAGCAATAGTCTCAATTCTGAAAACATCATTTCCTTTGGCTCTTCTTCCCTGGGCCACAGCAACAGGGGCGTCTGCATAGCAGTTTCTGAATTTCTGAGAGACACAAGATTTGCTTGTTTCATTTTCTTTTTTTTTGATATCGAAATTATAGTTCTTGGGAACCACCATTCATTTATTCATTTATTCATTTAAATTTTTACTTTTCTAACTATTTTACTGCCAGGTCATCTTATGAATGTTCACTCTCACGTTCCCTAGATGACTGAATAAGTACTTTTTCTTCAACAAATTTGAAATTTATTTTTTCCTATTACAAAAACCTCCGGTTTCATGGCCAATCCCCCATTGAGGGCACGAACCAAGGCATATGGGAACAAACAAGCAAGCCCTAGTTGTTCAATTGTAAGCGCGTGAGCTGGGCACGAGCGTCGCCGGCTTATGTTCCGGGCGCTCCGGCTCTCACACAATCACCGGCATCTCACTGCAGACTCCGCCTGTCCAAGGAACCAGATTGTATGACAATCACAAGAGCCTGCGGCGGCCAAGAACCATCATCAGCTTGTGTACCGAAAGCATCATCCTACAGCATCGCAGCATAAGCTTCGTCCGAAGCAGTTTCTGTTCCAAGGTGACGCTGGTAAACTGATGTATACTTTGACCGTTCAATGAAAGCTGAACAACGGCAAGCCGTCGCGATAGTGTTGTGAGCACCGTCCTATTATCACCATCGATAGTTGTGCGCGGCCTGTTCGGGTGCTCTGCGCATACATGCCTGCCTCTGCGTGGCAATAACTGCGCAGTGGACACTATACCATCGCAAAGACTTGTCGCTGTTCGGGTTTCAATGACGCTAATAGCACACGACGCACAATGGATCAAACGATGTGCCTCCCAGCGTCACCGACAGTGCCTGCTACAAAGTGCCACGCCGCGTCAGTGACGTGAAACACGAAGTAGTTTCGGAATCAACACCGCAGGCATAGACCAGGAGACGAGCCAACCCGGATGTAGTTCATGTGCGCATTAAACGTTAATTTTGCATTCGTAACTTTTTTTATTGTTCACCACTCTTCGTTCTCTCATTTATTTCAGTGAAATTGTTTTTTCGTTTATTGGTTTTGTTTTTAGATTTTTTTTTGCTGTTGCGCGCTTCTTTCTCTGCTTTCCCATTATCAGGGGTTTTCTATCTCATTTTTGTTCACGCGCCTATGTTTAGCATCGGGTGGCGCTATGTTTTGTTCTTTTTCTATCTTTTGCCTTTTTCGTGTTTTTGTGATTTTTTTAAGGGGCGGTAATGTTACCTCTATATGGTGGGTCAAGGGCAAGAGCGGCTCTCGATCTGAAAAAAAAAAAGAAGATTGCCTATCACAACAACCGAGCCTTCGCCACGGTTGCGGTATCATCCGCGCAGCCGACTCTTAACTCTGCCATATTCCTCACCCGAAACCCCGAAGTAGCGGAGCAAGTAGCTATAGCTATAGCTATGCTCGACAGCAAACGAGAATTCATCTACAGCGACTCCAAACCGGCCATCAAATCCTTCGAACGCGGAGTCATCTCCGGACCAGGCGTTACGTATCCTGCGCGAAGTGGACCCGAGTGCCCTGAAGCACCACGCTGTCATCTAGTTCCCCGCCCATCTCGGCCAGGTGCCGGGTGCCCTATCCAACCTCAACGAGATCACCCATGATGCAGCGCGCGCACTTACCGACCGCACTGCCACAGGGCAACCTCATCTTGCTGGGTTAGATACCAATCGAGATGCACCCATTACGTACAAAGAGATAATAAAGCACTTTTACCTGGAACGCCACATTTTTCCACCCCCACATCCGAAACTTAACAGACCACAGGCATTAACCCGGCGCCTATTACAAACACACACGTACCCAAACCTTGCTACGCTTCACGTTTATTATCCTCATGTATACCCCAGCGACACATGCCCATCATGTGGACACACAGCGACACTCGCACTACACGCTCTGGGAGTGTCGAAAAACTCCTCTCGACTCTACCTCAAGCAAGTGGGAGAGGTCTCTCAGGAGCTCACTTCTCGCCGACCAGCAATGCCGTCCAGCAGGCACACGAAGTGGCCGCCAGGTACTCCCTGTCGGTCCCTACGTGGGAGACGCCCGCTACGCGCTAAGTGCGTCTTGCAGGACTGAAATGAAGTTTTTTTTTTCATTCCATTGCGCTTAAAACACGAAATGGACACACCATACCTATTGTCGACAAGATAAGGGTGCTGGGGTTAATAATAGAAGCCAAAGGCACCAACGGGGAAATGCTACGCAATGTCGAAGCGAAGGTTTCTCAAACGATGCGCCTAATCAAAAGAGTTACGAATAAGCATAGTGGCATGAAACAGGCAGATGTCATAAGGCTCATCCACGCGTTTGTCATCAGCCACATTACGTATGTTTACACATGCCATAGATGGTTCACAGCAGAAAAAATGAAATTGAACTGCCTCATAAGAAAAGTCTACAAACAAGCGCTGGGGCTCATGTAAAGCACAAGTACAGAGAGGCTGTTAGAGCTGGGTTTACATAATACACTTGAGGAACTGATAGAGGCGTAACGTATTGCACAGTAGAAGCGCCTCTCTAAAACCAAGACT